CCAGATAATTACTATGTGATACCCATGATTTACCTTCACTAAAATGCTCTATTAATATAAAGCACCTCATCATGAGTTAACAGTTTACTAATACTGTGCTATGATAATAAGATTAAGTGTTTGGAATCTAACTGATATGTAGAAAACATTAAAGCTTCCAAAACATTAATGAAACTCTCACTTATTATTATATCAATTAATGCATCTCCTACCAAACTTTTCCAGTGCCAGGTAGCATTTTAAAAGTAAATAGTACATTGATTTTACTTGGGACTGATTTTAAAAGTTCTGCCTTTCTGGTGCTTTTGAGAGTAGATTTTCATAATATAAAGCTTTAATTTATGCATTTTTTCATAAAGTTGAAGTTTTAATTGAGTACTTTGTGATCATCTATAAATGAGAAAGCCTTTAAAGTCATGAGACATACAAGGGTTTAATGATCCCAATTGCACCATTCTAGCTATTTACACTGTAAGTACTTTTACAGTTCAGAGTTTATAGAAAGCAAATGTTCTGTATATGATTTAAAAGGGAAGTGTTTCTGCATGAATGAAAATCTCTAAAATATTGTACTGAAATATTCATATGAAAGAAGAGTATGAGGAAAAATTCTTAAAAACTAGCCAATTTTTTTGATAGCTTATGTCATCAACAGTAATTTTTTATGTTTTCACACATAATCAAGTGTAGTTCCAATGCATCTTTGATTTAAATCTTTTTAATTTATGCTCTGTTAGTAGTGTGGGTGCACATGTGTGTTTTCATCTGTGCTTTGTTTGTGAATAACATGCAAGCTCAGCAAACAGAGGTTGCTTACAAAATTTTTAACAGAGCAACTAACCATCTGAGTATCTGGTATAGTCATCAAAATAAAACCTAGAATACAAATGAATGTGCACATTTTGGAAAAAGGAGTAACAGGTGTGTTGAGAATCAAGCTGAGGTCTAATAGAAATTTGTAATATTTCTAAGTTCCTTTTTCTGCACAGACTCCCTTCTGTGTGGAACAAAAGTAGAATGTCCTCTCACCTTGCTCAGCTTTTCTTAGCTCAAATAGGTTGATAATTATATTTTCCTCTTCCACCCAAAAGGATAAAATATAAAATAAAGTAGACAGAGACGTGCGTAGCTATTTCAAAATTGCACTATGAATATACCTTGATTTAAATAGCTGAAATACTTGTCTAACACAATCAATTCTATCATGGTTGTTGTAAATACGTATATGTAAAAAGCAGAGAATGAAAAAAGATATGCTAACACCAGAAGCAAATTAAATTTTGCCTATCAGTAAATTTTTCAGATTGAATTAGTAACATATACAAGGGGTCTTCAAAAAGTTCACGGAAAGGTTCATTTATCTTTTAATTCCATTTTCCATGAACTTTTTGAAGTACCCACATATGTTTACAAAAATGAGTCATTAATAATGGTACTAATATTTATTACCATGTTTCAGGCACTGTTCAAAGTGTTTTATGCATATCAATTTACGTAATTTTCACATCAATCCTAGAAGGTTAGGTACTTTTATTATTTTTATTTTTACAGATGAGGAAACTGAGGCATGGAACAGAAATGCAAAGTAGCTTTCCCTTGTGGTTCATCCTGGATTCAGTTCTATGGTGTTCTGAGTTCCAGAACTTGAATCCTTAATTATTCATTAGGCAGTTTCAGGAAATGTTCTATATCACAGGGAATTTCAGACCCTTAGTTCGGTCATTTGAAAACATTTGTCCTAAACCTGCTCAGCTGTAGATGGTGACATTCTTTAAACTGCTTCATTCACTCTTTTATGGAGCAAAGAAGCCTTGCCATTTTAGCGCCTTGGCATAATAATTAATACAGCACTATGTATCTGACTACTAGAACTACCACTTCCTAGAGAAACCTGCTGCTCTCCTTTCCTCCACCAAATTTGAGCCATTTTACACCAAAGCAAGTTTTATTCAAACCTGAATTTACCACAACGTCTTAGACATTTTAATTTTGTCCTTTTACCACCTTCCACAGCAGTGTTTAGATTAGTTCCCTTAACCATGGTCTGATTATGTATTTTTCCCTTCTCAAACTAGCATGCCATTGGGATACTCCGAGAATTTATTCCCTTCTGAGAGAAAATGAGGAAAACAAAATTGAAACCCTTCTTTATTTGCATTAATTCAATTTTCTTTTCAGTTCAATAACTCCAGTCTTGATCACTGAATAACAGTAATCATGTTCATATGTTTTATTAGCCTCATTTAAAGTTAATTAATTGCTAAATCAGTGAGCCTCTATATAATGTACTAGCCACTTATTTCAATGGCTCAAAAATTAAATGTCACTTCCAAAAGTTTCTGGTTTGCTTAGGCAGCGTAAAATATATATTTGTACACACACACACACACACACACACACGCACACACACATGTTAATTCATTTGTTAAAGAACGGGAGGACAGATTTTATTCAGGACTATCAGGGTAGGTATAGAAACTACTGCAATTGGGTTTTGCAGTAAGGAAAAGATTTTGAGTTCAACTCCAAATACAATAAGAACTAGGAATTTATAACCAAAGAGCAGGATAGGGGTCAGTAGATGAAAAATTACTAAGAGGAAATATCCAGGGCAAGGGGGCATTCTGATTAAACCAACTTAACAAGATTCTTGCCGAAGGCAAGCCAGAGTGATCAGACATCACCTGGGGGATGCTGGGGGTTGACAAGGTGATCAGATAATGAGGGTGGGTGATTCTGGCCAAACTGACTTAACAGAATTCTTGCTAAGACTGGACAATGCAAAAACAGACACTGAAAAAAGAAAGTCAAGGCCTAGTTAGGAAAAGGATTCAGAGGAGCCCGACTATAGTTTGGTTCAGGAAAGACTTTTGCCCACAGTGGTGGATTATGTTGGCAACATTTCATAGTTGAGTTTAGTGGAAAAGGGAGCTTTAATTTCTTGTTGCTCTTCTAAGCAAATTCACACTTCAGTGGGCCCTAACCTATTTTAGTGCACTTAGTCATACTCCAGGCATCTAGCATAGGTCGTTTTCCACAGTGATGCTTTCAGGGTTGACTACTGCTCTGCCCTGAGCATTCTGACAGTTTAGCTCTGCTAATGTTCAGGGGCTTCTTTATGCCATCCCAGGTACTCTGTCATTATTTATTGATTTATATTTGGAATGGTTTAATTAAGCAGAATGGGCAATGTCTCTGGAGTTAAATGAATGTGACCAAAGGAGAAAGGATTTGGTGTAGAACAGGTAACAGATGCTTATTGAAACTTAGTTAAATGAAAATGTATGCCATGCTGACCTTCTCAATAAATGGATCTCTGCCTCTATCTTAGTTAGATATGATACTGTAATAATTAGATGTCAAATAAACCTTGCTTTATCTACAAAGAAGACTAGAAAGACAGTGCATTTTCTCATTCCCAGTTTCTTTGCTCATGGGGAGCAAATGAACTAGGACAAAAATTATAAGTTGGGATAAACATTCTACCAAACTGATCTAAATTAGAGGTTTCCTCTAAGTGATTTAAGCAGACTTTTTAAGTGATTTTATTTAAAACCTAAATTACAGATTTCTTAAAATTGCATTATGGAGCTTCCCCAAATTTTGCCCATTAGATGTTGGTAGAGGACTTTCTTTGAAGTATGGGTTTAAATGATTAGCATAGCAATAGTCTGCATGGAAAGATGTACCTGAAGTACCTTATTGTTGGTTCATAATTAATTTGATTGGCTTATCTAACATACTTTCATAGGTGGAATAAAGATAAGCTTGCCACCTCAACAAACACAAATATAATTAATAAGTTCACTTTTTTTTTTTTTTTTTTTTTTTCTGACCAGTAAGGGGATCATAACCCTCGGCACAGTGCGGTCTGCACCACGCTCAGCCAGTGAGCACACGGGCCATCCCTATATAGGATCCGAACCCGGGGCCTCGGCTCTACCAGCACCGCACTCTCCCGAGTGAGCCACGGGGCTGGCCCAATAAGTTCACCTTTTCAATCTCAGCATTTAAATCAGTTCCTGGTACATTATAGGATAGACACCACTCATATTGGTTGAATTAATAAACCCTACTATAGAATAAAATGTATGGAAAATAAGAGGCTCAGAAGTAGTTACAGGCATAAAAATAGATTATTTTTATAGGCTTATTTATAGGGACATTTTACATGTTTATTGTTAGTTTACTAGGTTTCCCTTTTCTTCCTCTTTTCTAGTTTTCTGTAATATATATAACATTATGAAAACTACATTTTTTAAAAGAAAGAGTTAAAGACATTATTTTTAACATCTATTATGCTTAAGGGGGGAAAAAAATCCCTGTAAGTAGTGTTTCTCTTAAGAAACAACTTGGTGTTTAAAATCTAACTGTAATAGCCTGAGAGCAAAGTTTTTTTGTTTGTTTGTTTGTTTTTTTTGATAGCTACAGGCATATCTCCTGAGAAAGAGAAAGAAGCTTGGGGCTGAGATGCAGGGAATTCTGTATCTCTGTTTGGAAACTTAGAAACAGGAGAGAGTTTGCTAATCATGCCAAAAGGCATAATCAGCCCAGATTTGGAGAGTTAATTATAATCTTAGAAATAAAAGAGTGATTCAGCCATTAGGTTTAGGCATCATTATCTAGATCAGTGTTAAAAGGTAATTTTTAAAATGAGGGCATAATCATGATTTTCATACAAATCTAAAATAAACATGGATAAAATTTTATTTACTACAAGTTATATGAAGGACTCACTAAGATTTTGCAAGCGTTCAAAAGAGAATTCAAATAACCAAATGATAGATGATTCATAAATAAATAAGACAGATAAAATAGGTAGATTAGATAGACAGATAGATATAAGAAATGCTAAAATGAATTTACAAATAAATGAAAAACTGAACTGTTCGTTAGACAATAATCCATTGAATTACACCACAACTCCATAAACACAAGTGCCAGGTATGCTAGACAACAATTTGGTTAACAAAAAACCCAAACCAAAACAAAACAAAACAATGGTCAGTAATCCTTTGGTCCACTTTAAAGTCTCTCACAAATTTTTCCTACATCAATTTCAATCAGGTAAAGTGTGCCTTTGGCCATTTAGAACATTGTGGAAGACCTACTGCTGTCTGCTGTCTATACCCAAGAAAACTAAGTAAATTAAGGCATTTATAGACACAATAGGGAAGCAAACTTAAGAGTTACCATTTAATTCTTAAAATTTATGACTGAGAAAGGGGGATTTGGTTCAGGATTATAACGTATCAGTCTGAGACCATAGTTAATCTGATAATAGTAAGAAATAGCTCTCTATGCAAGTGTTCTTGATTCTTCATACTACAAAATACTTTATTAAACATGTCCTTTAAAATTTTATCTTTGATATAGCGATTCAATATCCTCTCACAGTAATCTTTTTCTAATGAAAGCTATTTTTAATTTAAAACTTCAATTGCCCATATTAATTCACAGTTAAGTTGCAGTTAAAGAGTTGACTGGCTTGCTCATTGCTTAATAATGCAAGATTCAACACTGTGATCCTCCAACCCCTACCCTTCGCAACTTTCCCACCCTCGTCTCAGAGCTACTACTACAAATTACAAGCACAAATTACTAACAGCACGCAGAAGAGCATGCCTTACAGTTTTCTTTACTTAACATGACACAAACATGCAGTGTTAATGGCTGTATCATGAACAGTTATAGTCTCAACATGCAGTACTCAGTTTAAAGGTGACACAAATCTCTGGTCTATCTGTAGAGAAGCTACAGTTGAGAAGAGATCTAAAGACAAGAAAAAAGAGGGAGTTTTTGATTTTTTTTTCTTTTTACTCAGTAAAAGCTCTTAGATAACTGTGTATTTTTGTTGTTTGAGATATCTGTGAATGTAGTGGTTTGCTTGGAAATTTGACATGTTTCCTATTGGAGTACTTGAGACATTTAGGCAGAAAGCCATGTTACACAGTATAGTTGCAACACTGATGTAGCAAAATTCCTGTGATTAGACTAACATTTTTTTTTATTTGTTTGGTCGAGTTTTTATGGGGTTTTTTGTTTGCTTGTTTGTTTTTTGTTTTGTCCACTTGGTAAAGCAATGGAAATATCTGCATTATAATAAAATGCTTTTTAAAAAAATATATAGTATAAGCTTTTAAAGACATTTGAAAACAGATCACCTAAACATCAATCTAAAGAAATGCAGAAACAGTGAATAAAACATTTCTTAATTTTTTTTTTAATTAAGTATTTTTGAAGTAGTCGGGATTTGGTGGACCAAATTCAGGATCTTTTAAAAAGGTTTGAACTCATAATTTTTTATATGACTTGTAAACCACTAAAATAATTCACTGCATGTATCTGGTTTGGTGGAAATACAAACTTGTTTTCATGACTTTTAGGAAATATTTTAAGGAGGATAATATTCAAATTTTAGCATTTCGATTTTCAGAAACTGTTCAAAGCAATAAGACATTGTATTTACTATTCTGTTCATTTTGTTTTACTTCACAAAGAACTGGACTGAGATCACCAGCTTATTTTTGCAGGCCAAAATATGTGTAGCTTTGATTACAGAATTATGTGTATACCTGTGTTCATATGCAAAACTCAGTATGTTTCAAGTGAACTACCCTGTCTTCCTAGGGAGTCCCAGGGGATTTTCATAACTTTGAACTGAGGTTTAAGATATGAATCAGAACTTTAAAAATATATATGTGTATACTCATGCAATGTATACTTTTGTGTATAATTTAACTAAAGTAATGTTTTAAATTCATAAAAGTTACTTAGCTCTTACATTATTAATTTTTTAAAAATACGCTCTTTTAAACCCCACAAATTTTCTATTCAGTGAAATGGTTTAAGAATAATTTTTTGCTATCCATTTCATTTTAAAAAAATACACAAAACACAAGCTGATTTCTGCTGTGGAATAGGTTCTTTCTTTGAAGTTACAGTTTGGATAGATTCTGCATGTAAATTTAGTATATAATTAAAAATTAAGTGTAAAATAATGTAAAAAGAGAAATTTACAAAGCTCTTTTAGTAAGTACTTCAGAACTGCACTTACCATGAGAAAGTAATCATTTTGTAAAATTTTGTAGTATCTCAATTGCTGAAGAATGGTGAATAATATTTCTTTATTTTGGCAGATGATTAACAATAAAAGTTTAGGAAACATTTTAACTCAGAATGTAAATTAACACTATACCTGAAAAGTATCTTGCTGATATTTTTCTAGTGAAACTATTACTCATAATGGAAGAGCATAAGAGCAAACTAAAAAAAAAGAAAGAAAGAAAGAAAGAAAGAAAAATCTCCTAAATTAAAACTTTTTCTATCTCATCTAAAAGAGGAGAAAAAAATTAGAAAAAGAGAAGAGAGTCACAAAGTGAAAAGAATCAAACTACCATTGGGAAAATCCAAATGTAGTCACTATAACGTATTAATTGCCAAACTTATGATTTTTTATCTAAATTAAATTATGTACCCATTTATTTTTTAAAAACAGCCTTCAAATTTTATTGCTTTTAGGTCTTGGTCATTACTTCTATGACCTGATATACTTGTGTCAGGAATATTGACCAATTGGCACCTATTCTCTTTTAAAGGTAGAAAAAAGGATGACTATTATATTGTAATACTTTGTTCTCTCTCTCCTCCTCTTTCTATTTTTTTGTTTTTTGTTTTCGTTTTTGGATGGTTGGTGATTTGTTTGCTTCTCCTGGTTCCTGTTGATCAGTGGTGTTTGGCCAGTTTGTATTTTTCCAGACATCACTCCACGATGTTGTTGAGGTGTATGATGGGCCAACTCAGCAATCTTCTCTGTTATCTTCCCTCTCAGGATCCCATTCAGGTATCCTTTCATAGAACTGCCGTGCATCAGTTATTAATAAAAGACTGCCTTTGGTTAGTGTTGTAGTGAAAGTTGAGATTAATGTCGTCCATATTAGACATAAAGCAAACTGAAAATGAAATCACTTTTTTTAAAAAATAGAAACACAACTGATAGTAACTTAGAAGCTTGAGAAAAAATATAACCAAATATTTTCTGGGATTGTAATCAAGTAAATATGATATTTAATCACTTAGTCTGTGATGTTAAATGTAATATAAAGTATTGAAGGATTCTTTGAAGAATGAGGCAATATGTATCAAAATGTAATTAAAGCCTTCTGGTAAAAGGATTACAATTGAAGCTGAACCCAAAGAAAATATATTGTTAGCAACAGGATATTTTGAAGTAATTTGATAGAACATAAATTGATGTTTTAAAATGACAGTGTAATAATATAATTTATTAGGTTTACTGAATGAAAATTATTTATGATATCTTAGTGTTTGTTTTGTTGAGTAGGAGAATCACTTCCACTGAGTTCAGGTAATCACATCACAATTCGATTTACTTCAGTTGGACCAATAACAGCTAAGGGATTTCACTTTGTTTATCAAGGTAAGTGACCCTGTAGTCTAGAAGCACACTAAGGAATGATATCAATTTCCATGCTATGTTCAGAGTTATTGAATGTTGAGGAGCGATAAAGAGGTTTTTTTGTTTTGTTTTGTTTTGTTTTGTTTTGTTTAAAAGAATGCAGTTTTACCTTTCCCCACCCCATCACTAGAGCACTGCCACTTTGACCAAAGTCAAAAAGACCTATTGCTTTCATCATCATTCTCATCTTAAATGTCTGATTTTCCTACCTTCCAACATATTGTCTTCAAAACATCTATTTTGTTCTGACAATTCTTCACTCTACATTGGCTATTTTCCTCATAGTCTAGCACTCTCAATTAAAAATGTACAAGTTTCTGTGTTGATGTATAGAGACATGCCAAGGAAATCATCACTCCGTTCTAAACTTATCGTTTCTCATTCTCTCAGGAGAATTGAAACTTTTTCCATGGTTATTAAAGATATTTGCACAATTGGAAGTCTGCTTACACAGTTTTTTCTTGCCTTTTGTAGACAACCTTCCACATTATCATTAAACTAGAGCCATCATTTGAAATATTTCGTTGAAATTACGTATGATCATGCAGTAGTTCTTCTCAAGTGGATCTTGAACTTTATTCCTAAGAACTTTATAAGCATTTGTGATTGATATTCTTATTAAACCCTCTTATCTCATTTATCAGTGGCTATAATATTATACTATCTTATTTTTAATTGTACTTCCAGCTGTAAGCAGTTTGTGGTATTATGAATTCAAAAGGCACTGTAACAAATGAAGTTATGTTTACTCAAGTCACATAAGAGTGATTAATCTATTTGGAATTCATCATATTATTTTGGGGGCTGTTGTCAATCTCTTTAATCACACTTGTATGTGTTTTAAAAAGAAAAAACATCCTGTTATCATTCTATTTTACCAAAAGAACAAAAGGCACAATTGAAGGACATACCTACAAAGTCTAAAAACAATTTCAAATTTGATATTGTATAATTATTAAAATAAAAACTTTTTATTGTTGTTAATCTGTCTGACTCATATTCTGCTAAACTTGAATGTAGTTGTCTTCATTAATAACAAATATGTTTTGAAAACTAAGTTTGTGTACATGCTCTGAAATGAATAAAGTGTTGTGTTTACTTTTTTATAATCTATTCTTTTAAGAAAGAAATATTGAAAAAATTGTAAAATAATTTTGTGCGACCTGACACGTGTTTTTTAAAACTTGGTATCTCAAGTTCAAAAAGAAAAAAAAAAGAACCTTTCAGTTTTCATGCCGTAAATTGCAATATCTAAGTAAAATTACTGTTATATTTTTGGTAAAACAAAAAATAGGGAAAAACACATAGTTGATGTTGTTTAAAAGATCAAAAATAAAACTTTTCAAATAAAAAATCTTAATGATAATACCAATATTCCTTTTAAATTGTATTTTATTATGTATGAAATTTATAACATTTAGAAATGTATTCAGATTGTTAATTCAAGTTCTGACCAAAAAGTGAAGATTTCTTTAAAATCTGCTTAGTTACATTTTTAAATCAGTGTTTCTCTACCAAATGTGAAATTTAAATCAACATTTATTTCTACACAGCTGTTCCTAGAACAAGTTCTACACAATGCAGTTCTGTGCCTGAACCAAGATTCGGAAGAAGAATTGGCAATGAATTTGCTGTTGGCTCACTGGTTCTTTTTGAATGTAATCCAGGATATATTCTCCATGGATCCATAGCAATTCGATGTGATACAGTGCCCAATTCTTTGGCGCAATGGAATGATTCTTTACCTACCTGTATTGGTGAGTATGTAAATTTGTATGCTCTGTGATTGTACATATTTTATATCAAAATTATAGTTATCTTACATCTTTCAGCTTTCCAGTTTCAGATCTAATAATTATGCATTGATATTTAAAGAATTAATTTGGTACACTGCATATAAATATGAAAATTAAGTGGAGATTTGCTGCAATTGTCTTGGTGATGCAATAAATGAAAAAAAAATGTTTAGCTAACTAGTTTCCTCATTTATTTACTTATGTGAATGAAAATACATATATATATATCCAATAACACAGAATTCAATGTTACTAATATAAGATTATTAGGCACTATCTTTCACTGAAATAAATATCATTTTTTATTTTTAAAAGTTTATGCAAAGATTTCTGTGCCAATGTGTAAAGAATCACAGAAGCCAATTTTCCTAAAAATATTTTAATTTGTCATCAAAAGAATTAGAAAATATGCATTAGTAATAAACCTGTTTTTCTTTACTTTATTAGTTATACATATGTATAAAAAATGTAAAAGGTTTTCCCAGTCTTTTACTAATATAGGTGCTAACACTTTAAATAAGGAAAGCACATAGGGTTACCCAAAAATCTCATAGTTTCAAAGTTCATTTTTGTAATATTATTTCTTACATTTTTGAATAGAATATACACTGTTTAAAGATATGGATCTTTTAATAGTTTAAAATCTTATAGTATTTCAGGATCATTTTAATGAATTTTGATTCTTGTAGCATTCCATAGACATAGAAAAAGTAGAAGTTTGGGAAGTTGGTCCCTTCTCTGTCCCAAGAGCGTATCTGGAAATTATTTTTTTTAATTACATAGTATTAAATTCAAGGAAGAGTGGTAAACTTACTCACAGGTTAAGAAATAGTTCTAATGTCTTGAGTTCTTTTTCATTAAAGATTTACTGCTGTGTAATTTGGAAAAGAAGATTTTTAAAATAAAAGATAAGCAGAATTTTGTTTTTATTTTTGTCTTATTTTAATAAGCTCAATTATCCACTCTTCATAGAGATGACATGAGCATTTATATGATATAATATAAACACACATAATATACACACTTATAAATATGTAAAGTTACTTTTTGATAACACATTTTGCCGTACCTGAAAAAAAATACACGTGCCAATAGTTTTTATTTTTAACTTTTTAAAATTTTGTTCATAGTAATTAGTTCATAGGTCATTAGAATAAAGTATGTTCTTAAATTGAGAAATGATATAGAAGGTACACTCATTTCTATTGAGAAGAGAGTTAAGATAAAGTCTGTTGATATGCATCAATAAGACATGTAATTTGTATAGAATATATCAACTCTAATTAGGTTAAAATATTTTTTTTTACCATTCAAATTAGTACATTATTAACAATTATGCAACGATAATGGTATAAACTGGGGCTGTAATAAATAAAAAGGAGGGATAGATAGTCACTTGATTTCTCTAGGAACTTGATATCAATGCTCCCCCAAAACAGATAAACCTCGCATATTTCACAGGGTATTTATTTCTTTCAACAGATATATTAGTTCTTCCCACTATGATAAATAGAATATAAGCTATTCTTGTATTATTCTATCATTTTTTGAAAGATCATCTACGATAAGTAATTCAAAACACTGGAAGACTATAAATGACTCTTCGACTTCCTCATCTTTTAGCTAAATAACTACAATTTCTGATATGATTACCATTTATTTAATGCCTACTATTTGCCAGTATTATGGTTTGAATATTTGTGTTGCCCCAAGATTCTTATGTCGAATCCTAATCCCTCATGGTGGTATTAAAAGGTAGCGTCTTTGGGATGTGATTTGGTCTTGATGATTCTACCCCCATGAATGAAATTACTGCCTTTATAAAAGAGGCCTGAAGGAACTTGTTCAGCCTTTTGCCACATGATGACACAACTGTCTATAAAGCAGAGTGAGCCCTTATCAGACACTAAATCTGTTGGCGACTTGGTGTTGTACCTTCTTTCCTTCTCTAGAAGAAATAAATTTCTACAACATATGAATTGTTTATAGATTACCCAACTAAGGTGTTTTGTTTAGCAGCCTGAACAGTCTCAGACAGCCCTGTCCCATGCTAAGTAATTTAAATACATATTTAATTTAATTCTCGATCAAACCTGGGGAGTAGTTACTCTCAAGATTTACAGATGAATAAACTGGATCACAGAGAGGTAAAACAGTTCTTTTTTAAAATGGCATAGCATAGTAAGAGGTGGAACGAAGCAGGATTTAAAAGTAAATTTTTCTAACTTCAAACCCAAAACTAATTGACATAGTACTGTCTCTCTTTATGTTCTGAATTATAACCTATTTCTTTCCCAATTACATATCTGCATTTTATTTATCATTCAGTATTTCTGACCTTATTAAAATACATATTTGACAATCAAAAAGTATAGGAGATAAACCAACTGGACTTGATATTTCTCCTGTTTTGTGCCGACATAGAGTTAGGGTTAATGGAACACAGAGATCTTCCCCTTAAGTACTTATAGTCTCATAAAGATAAAAAAGATAATATTCTTCTTTCTGACCACAATATATGTTTAACTTCACACTCTTATAAAATAGTAATAAATAAATTATCCTCAACTAGAGGAATCATGAACTGAAAGAAATATTTCTATATGTCTGTGCCAAAATTAGTCATGTAATATACATAAACTGGAAATTACATTGCTTTAAATCAGTTTAATAATTGAAGACAGACACGATAATAATAAATCTCTTCAGACCCACAACAGATTTTTAAATGTTTCTCTATAAATATCAAGAATCAATCATAATTTCTGCCTCACTTTTCTCTGTAATTATTTACATAATTTCTGTGTTGCTTTTAGTTTATGTAGGTTTTGGTAGAAAATATAAATGCTATATAGTAGAAGGTAATTAGATAAGTAGTCATCTCCATTTAGTTTCATATAATGATGAAAATTCCTTGAATTTAATCATTTATTATAAAACCGGTATTATGATGACATGAATATTTATTAACTAGCTCGTTAGTCCTTAAATATCATGGAAAAATTAATCTTTTCCTATATTTTGAGTGTTCAGAGAACCTACATATGCCAAGAACCGAAATTTATATTTGTGAATTACTCCTTAAAGGTTTTGTTTGTATATTTATCATGTTAATGTTCTAATTAATAGGGAAACATTAAAAAATCATGTAAAATTAGTAAATTCCTCACAGCTGTGAATTGTAGCAATTTCTCCACGTTAGGGTTAATTTAGTCTTGGTAAATGTCTTGGGCTTTGACCTTAAGACTGAATTGAGTTGAGTTACTACAAGATCTTGGAAAATTTACATAATCTCTTTGATATTCAATTCCCATACCAATATAATGGGAAATTAAGAGAACTTCCTCATAGGTTCATTGTGGCTATAAAATGATTAAAAGCCTTGAAAAAGTTCCTAGACCCTAGTAAGTACTAAAAAAAAAAAGGCGTTTTAATTTTTGCCAGCTCTCCACCACAGAAACAGGAGAGAAGACTCCAATTCTAAAAGTATTAGATACAGAATATGAGACAATATGCAGTGCTGGTAAAGTATTCAGTATTATTGATTTTTATTTGTTGACATTTTGTTTTAGTAATACCTGAAAGTTTTCTGTATGTAAAATTTGTCTTCCACTGAAGAGTTTTGCATCTTGGGAAAGGCTGAAAGCTTTACCCTCTATCATTCTTTCCAATGCTAATAATTTAGGATTCCTTAAATGCAATAATTTAATTTGCACTTAAAAATTCTTTAAAAAGTTCTGGGGAAATGTGTTTATTATATTGAGAATAATAGTAATTACTTATTTCAATACGGTGTTTGGTGGACTATAAAATTTCTCTTCACCAGTTGATGCATTTAAAGTGAAATGATTGAAGAGGAGTATACATAAAACGATAAACATATATTCATGATCTGGTTTGTTTTCATGGTTTGCAAGGTTGTTTAACATAAAATAAAAATAAAGTTAAAATTAAAATAATGATTACTACAATTTTAAGTGGCCTTGAAGTTATATATTTAATCAATCTTGCACTCTGCTTTGTCTTCTGACCCTGAAAAACTCAAAGATTGCATCATCCAAAGAAACGTATTTTCTTATGTCCATGAATGTATGAAGATAAGATGGAGTTCAAAAGAAAACAGTATATATAAAGGAGAAATGAGCTAAAATGGACCAATGGGTGGAAAAAGAAAGAATATTTTAGTGAGAAGAACAGGAAGTTAGAGAAGAAAAGGAATAATGATGAGATGGATAGTAATGAATAGTAAACTACAAATATTAAACCATAAACCATTTGTCTGAAGATGAAAATAGCCCCTATTTTACATGATTATTGCAAAGCTTTTTTCTTATGTCAAAAGTGTTAATACCTGTGTTTTTACCATCAGAAATAAAAATCTATGTAAATAAAAGAAAGGTTATGCTATCCAAGTGGGGATTTATCTCAGCAAGTACAGTAACTCACACCAGTATCTAAAGCCTGTGGAAGACTTCCAGACTGTTACCTAGTCTATGGCTGATATTCAGCTTTGGCAGTGAATGCTAACTTACTGTGCTCACTCTCTACTTTAAGGAAAAAAAGATGAGGTACTCCAAAGCTCATACAATTTCTCTGTCAGAGGCCGAGATGTCTGTCAGTCCCTGGGATTTTTGAGAAACCTGTCATGGCATTCATGGAGAATCTTTAAACATAGACTACCTTTTATTTTGCATTGGTTTGTGCCATAGTGTGAATGTCCATGTTCCCCCCAAATTCATATGTTAAAATCTTGCCCCTCAAGGTAAAGGTTATAGTAGGTGGATGCTTTGAGAGATGACTAATCAGATTAGTGTCCTTATATATGTGACCCCAGAGAGATCTCTCACTCCTTCCACCATGTGAAGATACAGCAAGAAGATAGCAGTCTGTGAACCAAGAAAAGGACCTTCAGCAGATACTGAATCTACCAGTGCCTTGATCTTGGACTTCCTAGCCTCTAG